TAAACAACCTCCTGAATGTCTTGGGTGTCTTTAGATACAGTAGGTCAAAAGCAACATCAACAATCATTCACAACCCATTGGTTGGGCACTCCCCGCTCGAGTTACCATACCCTGCCTCTTCATCTCTCTCCCGAAAAAGAAATGAAAAAAGGAGTTCCGATCATCGGAGGCCTAGTAGCTTCTTGCTCCTAAAAGCGATGCCCTTTGTTACTGGTAGCGATGCCAGGAGCTACGTTCGTAGCGTCTTTGCTACTAGTAGTAGTGCCCTTGTTACTAGCGATGCCCTTTGTTGCTAGTAGCTGCTTGTTCCTACTAGTAATGCCAGGAGCTACTAGTAGCTTCTTGCTACATCTTGCTACATCTTACTATGTGCGTCCTTTGTTTTGAAGGGCTCACAAGATGGATGTGACACGGGCACCTCCATCTCGGCCCAACTCATGGACAGGGCTGGGATCGGCGAACGACCTCGGAAAAGGTAAACAACCCGTCAGGACATCAACGAAGCGGTGGCTCAAACCTATCTGAATCCTCTCTTGCCGGATCCTACGCAAGATTCCTTAGATCCACCATAATATGAACCGGCTCTTGAAATCATGTTGTACTGATGACTGCGGAATCCAGTGCTTCTCTTTCGCGATGGCAGCGTGAATTCTCTTTTGCAAACATTGGTTTGTTTACGTTCAGGGGTGATGAAGCATTGCAAAACTCATTACAACATGTATTTGCAACGTCACCCCGCCAAAACACTTCACATTCACAAAGTGTTTTTCATGTCTTTCAAGTCTGGGCCTCCACTGAACGGCTGCTGCTTTCAGTATGAAAATCCCCAAACACCTGTGACCCTCGCAGGCAACTGTTCAAGATTCTGTCTGAAGTCCGGAGGTGGTATGCAGAGTTGGCCGGAACAACCACATCAATGAACTCTATGAATTGTGATCGGATCTATTGTCCATATTGCCTTGCGGGTTTCTGTACAGGTTTGATTTCCGTTGGAGCTGAGCTGGGGGCAACCGCCATCCGCTCGTCCAACGGTCACCGTTTTGAGATCCCAGCGAAGTGGGCTGGATGGTTCAGCCAGTTGCTGGTCTTCCTCAAGTCTGGCAAAGTGTACAGCCCCAGTGGCAGGACACAAATCACAGCAAAATGATTGAGCAAATCCAGCTGATTCCAGCTGTTATCGTTTCCACAAAAAGGAACATGAAAAGGAGGTCGGCTTGAAGGAGCGTGTTTCGTCCGAGGAGCGTAAGTCTGCGCCACGGTTCGGATTTCAGATCCGCACGGTGCCGGCTCCAGCCTCCGCGGGTGATGGAAGCAAATGCAGCGTGTTGATGCGTCTTGGAGCGGTAACTGGCTGAAGGAATCTGACATGTGAGATCATGTGAGACACTTCTTGGGGCAACGTACTGACTGCATGTAGTTTACTAAGTCAAGAGAAAGGCCAAATACTATGGACTATATGGTGAATGCTAATAATTTGATCCATTCTGATCCCACTGTTTGCGATGTTTTACGCATTCTGTGGGACTGTGCCCGGCTCCATGTATATACCTGAAAGCCTGAAACGAGATGCACATCTATGGCCTACAAGTATGCTCTATGAGCCATGAGCATCACTAGACAGCTAGACAGTCATGACTCATGACATGCTGACCAGCACTCTGTACAATGAATAGAGCAACAGTACAACATAGTACAACAGTACTCTGTACAGCATACAGTGCATCTTATTATGTTATTTGCACTGGTTTGGCATATCTAGTCCCTAGAAGTCCAAAGACTATTCTATGTTGATATTCTTGGGATCACCGAAGTAAAGGAATCCCTCGTGGGGTCACCGAAAGACCAGGGTAGTGCTATCACATGCCATCACATCAATTCACGTCGACGAACCCTAACTTCACAGCACGTAGCATTCCTCGATTCTAGATTGGAGGCTTTCGCTCTTAGGTTGGAGGCCATTCCTATTATATAGGTTGGATTTGCATTCTCGCGCCTGAGAAGCGGGGTCTCCGCCTCGTTGAATTCAGGCGCAACTGGTGCCTGAAACCAAGCGTGCACTGTCCGGGTGGTAGTCCAGTTGAGCAACAGTCACAAATTTGTGCAGAATCAAAAACTGCAAAAGGATCCAAAACGCTAAGCGCTCTTACTTAACAACTCTTTAGATTATTTTAGTATATTTTGGTCGTTGCCCACTGCCTGCGCACACTTCATCCACCTTCCTGGTCAACCAATGTCTGCAAAAAAGGCATGAAAAAAACACGATAATCACTGTGAGATTCAATACCTCATCCACCCTTTCATCCACAAACGCTTTGGGGCCGAGTCCCAACGAAGGTGCGGGAGTCCCTCAACGCCGACGTCGCTTGCTTTGCTGCCGCCTCCATATCCTGTTGCCGTTGTTCCGCCAAGGTTTCCGGCAGGCGCGAGGGACTTCCGAGTTCGAAACCTGACACCGGCCCAGGGCGAGGGGAAGAACGACGGAGCGACGCGAGTCCCGACGACCAGTGTGCTCGTTGTGTTGTTGTTTGTTTCTTCGACTACTAGGGGGACGACTATTTTTTGAGACCTGTGTTTTTTTGGTTGGGGGAAGGCTTTTTGTTCGGTTGGCAGATGGAAGGTGCATGAAGAAAACTAAGTGATAATTGTTTATGTCGTCTTTTGATTGCGATGATATTTTTTGGTAGATCACATCCCAAACAATCCTTCTGGACTTTGTGATTTCGGCCCAAGCATGACCAAAGTAGTTATTCCATATTATTGCAAAACATTGAAAACAAAACACGTGCATGGCCAGGCCGGATCATAATTTTTGGAAATTCTTAAGCTGCACTCCCTACCTTCCAAGACCTGAAGAATCTGCGCCAGGCCCTTTCAAAACATGACGTGCTTGCTGCGCGACTTGCTGAAAAACACTTTCCCCCTTTCCCAGCCTGACTTGGGCGAAGGCCCTGACTTGCCCGACTTGGGTGTAGGTCCCGACTTGGGTGAAGGTTCCACCGCTGCCTGCCAGCGGCATGTAAAACACCTCATGAACCGTCAACCCATCTTTGACCGCTGTACGCCCTACGGGCTTTCGGCGACAAGTTGAGTCCACCCATGTCGTGGAGCCCTCCGAGACTTGGACTCCTTGGGCGAAGCCAAGGATCCGAAGCCAACATCCCCCGGCCGAGCGGTCGGCGAGCCGCTACGCCTCCATCTCACCCCAAGGGGTCGACAAGGCAGCAGGAGAGCTTCCTCAGCCGAGTTATACATGTTGTTTCCTTTGTTCTGCTTGGCATCCGAATCATTTGTTTTGCAAGCGGAGGACCCCGCGAAGCTCATACTGACTGACACCATAGCTGGAGTAAAATGAGCGTCAAGTGCCCCAGCGCGCGGCACGCAGCTTAATCTTATTTTACTCCCAAGTCGAGATGGGTTTGATTCTCATGACGGTGCATTGGTACGGTTGTGTGGAGCGGTCCACACCCTGAGCGCGCCCATCCGCCGGTCCGCGTCGCACCTGGAGATTGAACCCGGGTTCGACGCAATGAGGGATGCGTCATTCATAGCCATTAGACCATACCGGCCCTGTGTATTGGTACGGTGGTTGCGTGTTGAAAGTTGAACTTGAACACTTGCTTGGTCCTTGTCTACCACACTTTGTTGCTTTGCACCGGACCTTCACTGGCAAGACCGCTGTCCTGCTCATCAATTTTGGATGAGCAGGACTGCGGCTTGCCTCATGCCGCTTGCCACATCAAAATCTTGGCTTCCAATCGATGGCCTGGTCTTATGATTCACTCTGCTTTCAACATGTCGAGTTTGGCACCTGGTGCCAAGCGCAGCACACCTAGCAGTTTTGAGGCCAGCAGTCCATAGCACGCAAGCAAGCTAAGTAGGTTGTACTTCTTCTGCAGCTCCTGCCTAAATGACAAACCTGCCCAATACCAAACATCTACAATCAGCCAGAGCACACGCAACGCCAGAATGATCCCCGCTGTGGCCTTCACCATTCTTGGTGCAAGACTCCACGTCATCCAGGCAACGATAAATTGGAAGAGGCTCACAGTGTAAATTACTTTACTTCGAGTGATCCCCACCATGACATTTCAATCATTTGTCTTGATGCCATAGTGAGGAGCATGTTGCCATAGTCGTCAGTATTGTAGTTCTCGATGTTGCTTGTGGGTCCTCGGGTTGTGTGCTGTGGTTGTGTGCTGTGTTGCGGTTGTGGTTGTGTTTGTGGTTGTGTGTTTGTGGTTGTGTGTTTGTGGT